GTGAAGGAGCAAAAAGTAAACCCAAGAATCGTGTCCATCTAGTGAAAGAGGAGAGTTCAGACTCTGACGTAGAAGCAGTAATGCTAATGGCTAAAACTAACTGTGATGAGGTAAATGATACTGCATGGTATCTAGATTCTAAGTGTTCCACTCATATGACAGGGAAGAAAGAGTGGTTTGTTAAAATGAAGGAAGTAGAAAATGGGAGAATTAGATTCGCAGATAATAGAAGCCTTGAAGCGGAGGGTTCAGGAAGGATTGTATTATGTGGAGACAGTGGAAAAGAAGTTGTAATTGAGGATGTTTTGTATGTACCGGGACTGAAAACCAATTTGATTAGCCTTGGTCAACTCTTGCAAAAGGGTTTTACTGTCAAAATAAAAGATAATTGTCTCAGTATATTTGATCAAAATAAAAGGTTGGTGGTCAATGCTAGTCTCTCTAAAAATAGAACGTTTTACGTGATTATGGAAGCTGTCAGGTACCAGCGTTTTGTTGCAGCAACAAATGAGTCAAAATGGTTGTGGCATTCATGTTATGGACATTTGAATTTCAAGGATCTGTCCAAGTTAAGTCAAAATACTATGGTTAAAGACTTATCACCAATCAAAGTACCTGAAACCGTGTCAAGGAGTGTATCGAGTGCAAGCAAACCAGAAATAGTTTCCAGAAAATAATACCATGTAAGTCTGCAACAAAGCTTGAAATCATTCACACTGATGTATGTGGACCCATGCAGATTGATACACCAGGTGGCAACAGATATTTAGTTCTCTTTATAGATGATTGGACAAGGAAGACTTGGATCTATTTGCTGAGACCCAAATCTGAAGTGTTGGAAATCTTTAAAAGGTTCAAGAGTATGGTGGAAAGACATTATGATCAGAAAATCAAGAAGGTGAAATCTGATGGTGGAGGTGAGTATACCTCCAATGAATTCAAGTGATATTGTGAAGAAATGGGTATAGTGCAGGAGATCTCACCATCATATACACCAGAGCATAATGGTACAACGAAAAGAAAGAATCGAACCGTGTTGAATATGGTGCAGTGCATGCTAAAAGGCAAGAAATTACCAAAGTTTTTGTGGGGTGAAGCCGTTGTTATAGCCACATACATTATGAATGTAACACCCACAAAGAGGTTGGAGTTCATGACTCCAGAAGAAGCTTGGTCGAGTGAAAAACCCAGTGTTAGTCATTTGCTCGTATTTGGATCAGTGTGTTACAAGCACGTTCCAGATCAATTGAGAAGAAAATTGGATGACAAGGGGGTACCATTGATTTTGGTTGGCTACCATCCAACTGGTGACTACAAACTATTTGAACCAAAAATAGGTCAAGTAGTGGTTAGTAGGGATGTGGTGATTGATGAAGACGCTGACTGGAATTGGGAGAAGAAAGGAACAGAGAAACCAATGATAACATTGGAAGACAATACTATAAAAATGGAAGATGCAGAGGATCACAGTCATGTTGATAATCCAACTACAGTGGTGCGGAAATCCTCCAGAGTGTCACGACAACCTTCACATTTGAGAGATTATGACCTCTCCTTCGACACTACAATCACTGATGAAGGTAACTTTGTTCATTATGCCTTAATAACTGAGTCATAACCTGTAGAGTTTGATCAGACAACAAGTGATGGAAAATGACAAAGAGCAATGCAGGAAGAGATAGAATCCATCGAGAAAAATGAAACCTGGGAGCTGTGTGAGTTGCCTGACAATAAAAAACCAATAACATTGAAGTGGGTTTATAAAGCCAAGATAAATCTACAAGGAGTTGTAGTGAGGCACAAGGCAAGGTTAGTGACAAAAGGATTCTTGCAAAGAGAGGGAATTGATTTTGGAGAAGTTTATGCTCCAGTTGCACGAACAGAAACGATTAGATTGGTTTTGTTTCGTTGGTTGTTTATCATCATTGGCCATTATATCAGCTTGATGTAAAAGCTGTTTTTCTGAATGAGAAGTTAGAGGAAGAAGTGTATGTGTGTCTCAGCCGCAAGGATTTGTGAAAGAAGATGCACCTAATCACGTGTATAGATTGAAGAAAGCGTTGTATGGGCTGAGACAGACTCCACGTGCATGGAACCAAAAAATTGATGCATTCATGAGTGAAGTTGGGTTTAAAAAATGTATCTCTGAGCATGTCGTATATGTGCAGAATCAGGTTATTGAAGGAAGAATAGAAAAAAAATGATCATATGTTTATATGTAGATGACCTTTTGGTCATGAGAAGCGGTGAGAAACTCGTTTCCAAGTTCAAGATGCAAATGTTAGCTGAATTTGAAATGAGTGATTTGGAAAGACTGAGTTACTTTATTGGATTCAAGTTCACTGAGCGAGAAGATGAAATGTTGATTCATCAATCACGATATACATTGAATATGTTACGCAAATTTGAGATGGACAGGAGTAATTCTGCAAGTACTCCAGCAGAAGTAGGTATAAAGCTTGAAAGGGAACCTGAAGAAGAAGAGGTAGATCCAACAATATATAGGAGCATGGTGGGTAGCTTGAGATACTTGTGTAATACATGGCCAGACATGAGTTTTAGTGTTAGCCTAGTTAGTCGTTTCATGCGGAATCCCAGAATCTCTCACATGAATGCAGTGAAGCGAGTATTGCAATATGTGTGAGGAACATTTGACTATGGTATTCTGTTGCCCAGTAAGCAAAATGAGAAGTTGAGTTTGACAGCATATTCCGATGCGGACTGGTATGGTGACAAATTTGATAGAAGTACTGTGGGGTATATATTTTTCTTGGAGGAAGCACCAATATCATGGAGTTTGAGGAAAGAAGCAATTGTGGTTCTATCTTCTTGTGAGACAGAGTACGTAACAACATGTGAAGCATCATGCATGGTTGAGCTCTCTTATGAAAGAATTGGGGGTTGAATCGAGAAGTAAAGTCAGATTACTGGTAAACAACAAATCTACCATCAATTTGGCTCATCATCCAGCAGCACATGGGAGAAATAAACATATTGAAACTAAGTTTCATTATATAAGAGAGCAAGTCAACAATGGCAGCTTGGAAGTAGAGTATTATTGTTCGGTCAAACAATTGACAGATGTGTTCACAAAGTCTCTGAAATGTAAACATTTTGTACAGTTTAGGAAGTGTATTAGTGTTAGGAAGTCATAAGTGTGAGAATATTTGACTTAGGAAGAAATGTTGACATTTTTGTAGTTAAGCTAAATATGGTTTCATATAATATTATTAGAAAAAGTTTGTTTACGTGCAATTTTATTTTGTTCGGTTACTTCTTTTAAATATTTCTCTTATAAAATGTATCACTGTTGTATTTTAATTAATAAAAAAAATAAGTATTATATATCATATATTCTGTATTTAGTTTTCTTAATATGAAAATTAACGAAGAATAACGAAATAATGTCAACTACAAAATGTTATAAAAAATCATTTGTCTTACAAATTATTTTAAGAGATTAAACTTCAATAACTGATTTTATTTTCAAGAACGAAACTAATAATTCACTAGTTTTATTTTATGACATCTTCAGCTCAAATGACAAGATGTATCAAGTAAAATAAAAAATATGTCCCTAAGTTATTTTTAACAAAATAATTAAAAATTACTCAATGAAGTTTACTTGTGAAAGAACTAATTCGTTGATAAAAAAAATGTAAACCCTAAAATTATTTCAAAGACTTATGTAACAACATTGGCTGAATTTCAGAAATACTATACTTTATTTATAAGTATTTATTTCAATTAATTTGTTTAAATTTTAAAATACATTAAATTTTAAAAAAATATTACAATAAAACCAAATATTATTCTCCAGGAACAATAAAATCCAATCACGGACTCCACCTAAGATATCCTCCGTCTCCAATTGATGAATGTTTCACAACTTATGAGGCTCTTTAAAAACAACAACATAGAAAGCTGTCCTAATGTGGCCACCCACGTCTGGTCTCGCATTCTTTAATATTTTATTTTTGTCCTGCCAATTTAAAAACCCATCTTGACCGTTGTTCTTTCAAACCCCTCAAATAACATGTCTGTAAATATTCCTAAAGCAAAGATATCCCAATCATTACATAAATTCACATTCTTAATTTTAAAATAAGGACATATTTTTTTTAAGTTTTTCATAAAATTGATATTTTGTTTTAATTTCTAAAAAACATATCTATTAGATTTTTTTATAAAATATTATTTTTTTCTAATTATATTTAAAAGTAACATATCAATTAACATTTAATTAAAAATTAAATTTTAACATATCAAATTTTATATTTTTTATAAATAAAAATTACATGATATAACTATGTGAAAACTTCGTCATCATCCTGTTTTTTATATAATATTTTTATTTTTATTTTAAAATAACCAATAACATATCTTGTATCATTAATAAACTAACGGTTATATTTGTTTATAGTATATCTATACTTGTATCATAGGTTAGTTAATATATCTAATTATATATATATATATATATATATATATATATATATTTTATAATTATTTATTCATTATGTTAAAACACCAGAAGATAATTTTGTTTAGATATTGTTAGTATATAATAATTAAGTTGTTTAATTTTGTATACAAAAATCTTTAGTTATCTTTAAAATTTTATTTTTTATAGTTTTTTACTTAAGTTTTAATTCACATATTATTTTTAAATAGAAATTAAGTATCATTTTATTAAAAATATAAGAAATATGTATTATTTTATTAAAAATATTAGAAAAGTAATTGTGTTTTAGTAAGAGCTCACCAATATTTTATTTAAAAAATAATAATTTCTAATTCATTTATTGAAATGCACAATTTTATATTAGAGTTTATAATAGATTAAATATTCATGCATTTTTAATAAAGTTGATGCAAATAATAATAATAATAATAAAATTATTTACATTGAAAAATCATAAATATTTATTTGAGTTGGGGTTCATACCCTCAGTTCTCCTCTTCTGTCTCTTCTTGGTATTTTAGCGGTGTTTTTCTCGATCTTGGATTTTTTCTGTTTTTTACGTATCTTTATTTTGGGTATCCGAGTAGTTATGTGGCGGTTTCTCTCTTTGGTGTAGAACAAGGTTTTCCTTGGTTACCTGAATATAGTTCTTTGCAATTGAATTAATTTGTATTCGTTAGGATATCCAGCAAGTAGCAGGGCAGGTTAAGGCCAAGGAGTGTCACGAAGACCTTAAATCCCGCGATGCTACCTTTGTAGGTTGAAGAATACGTTGTATATTACGACGAGTCTTTGCAAAGAAAAATATTTTCATTTTTTTTAATTTTCTTTCTTATCTGTTTGTGTTTTTTTTTATCACTTATATAATAAAAACATAAAAATAAAAAATTAATAAAATCAATAAAAAAAATTCTTTTAAGCTATTTATATTCTTTTATAAATATTGGTTTATAGTAAGTTAAGTTGATGCAAATAATAATAATAATAAAATTATTTACATTGAAAAAGCATAAATATTTATCAAACCCAACTGTGCATGAATTTATAGTGAAGATATATTTTAACTGGTGTGAAAACAAATTGATTTCCTATAGAAGAGTAATATTTTTCTTTTAATCAAAGTTTCCTTTTTTAGTAACTGTATAGTTGATTCCATCTGTTATATACTACTTGTTACCACCGTTTTTCTGCTCTTTGTTTCTCACCTAGTTCCTGTACCCAAGGTTTTGTTCCCAAACACTCTCATCATCTAATGTGTTCCTGACCAAGAACCACCATGAAGCCACCACCATCACCAACACTTCCACTTGCTCTCACTCTCCTCCTCCTCCTCTTCACCCCCATTACGGCGTCTGTCTCCCTCCCTCAACCTCCAACCCCATCCCCCAGATCCTCCCCATCTTCACCTTCCACATCCACCACCTCCACCCTCGACCCAAAACAAGTGAAAGCCCTAGAATCCCTCAACATCCCAACCTCAAGAGACCCCTGCGTCCAACCCTCCTTCCACAATGCCACCCTCTGCGACTCCTCCAAACCCTTCCGCCACCTCATCTCCCTTCGCCTGACCAACTGCTCCTCCTACCTCTCCCTCTCCTTCACCGCCCTCAAGTCCCTCTCTACCCTCCGCTCCCTCTCCCTCCTCAACTGCCCTCTCTCCCCCATTCGTCTCCCCCCGGAACTCACCTCCTCCCTCACCTCCTTCTCCTCTGTCAACAGCCTCCGCCACATCTCCGGCGTCTGGCTCTCCCAGCTCCAGAACCTCACCTCCCTCACCGTCTCAGACGTCCAAATCAAAGCCTCCGGCCCCTTCGTCATCCTCGCCCACATGACCAAACTCAAAACCCTCACCATCTCCAACGCCAACCTCACCGGGTCCCTCCCTGGGCACCTCCACTCCAACCTCACTCTCATTGATTTCTCCAACAACCGCCTCAAAGGCAACATCCCCCCCTCCATCACCATGCTTGACTCCCTCCAACTTCTCAACCTCTCCTCAAACTCCCTCGCCGGGGAAATACCTCCCTCCATCGGAGACCTAATTTCCCTCACGAACCTCTCCCTCGCCTCCAACTCTTTCTCCGGTCCCATCCCCGATTCCATTTCCGCCCTCCCCAAACTACATCACATGGATCTGAGCTCCAACCAACTCAACGGAACTATCCCCAAGTTCATTTCCCAAATGAAGTCTCTCAGGTACTTAAATCTCGCCAACAACAACCTCCACGGCGTTCTGCCCTTTAACCTGACTTTCATCAAGCGATTGGAGGTCTTCAAGGTTGGTGGCAACACTAACCTCTGCTACAACCACTCCATTATTTCTTCCAAGTTGAAGCTTGGGATCTCCCCCTGTGATAAGTACGGAATGCCGGTGACTCCGCCGTCGAAGGATTCGTCCGCGGATGATAGCAGTGGCGATGATTACGATGATGGTGATGAGGAGGGGATTAGGCACAAGAAGGAGCACCATCATGGACCTAACAAGTTCGTTCTCGGTGTCGCCATTGCGCTCTCTTCCATTGTCTTTCTCATTGTTTTCTTAATCCTCTGCTCCAAGTGTTGTCGTTAGAGGAAATTTTGGAAATTAGATTAGGGAAATTCATAAATTTGGTTGATTTCAACCTTGTTTGATATATTTATTTATTATTATTAATTATTATACAGTGGTTACAGAGTAGGTTCGAGGAGAGGAAAGATAATGAATATGTAACTGCCCATACAAAATTGAAAAAAAAAATGTAATTGTTGTATTTTGGTGGGGATATGTGGAAAAAAGAGGGAGGAGAAACATTAAATCAATTTCATGTGCAGTGTAGTGAGTGTGTTTCTTTATCATGGGATGCTACTTTCTAGGTTTTAATTTTTTTCACACCGTATTATTCGTTGTTTGGAGTAAAAGGTGGAGAATGGTGCATGTGGGTTTGGCATCTTGAAGATGTGTGTTACTTGTGCGATGAGCGTTTGTTTTTCATACTCTGCCTGCATTCAGAATTGGTCTTTTCATTTGTTTGTTGCACTGTTACATTAATAATGTCTTCCTTCTGGGAAAATTTGTGTTTATTTGCTTTCTAGATTCTTGAATTTATCAATAGATTCACCGTAGAAGTTGGAGGCAAAATCTGTGTGAACATTTAGCTAAATAGCTGGGGTGATGCTTATTTCAGATTCTTCTGCATGTGGCTAAAATGGTGATGCTCTATTATTTGTGGGCACTACTTGAAATTTTTTTGCTTAGTTTGACTAGGAGAGAGGGCCAGTTGCTTAAGTAGAGATAACGGTTGGTGGTATTATCTGCAAACTGGAAATTGTATGATTGTGGATATCTGGCTTTGGTCCAATTTATTGTTTTTGTTACTGTTATATATATTGGATATCAGCTGTCTGCTCTTCTTGATTTGAACGTACATTCATTTTCCAAGTTAGGTTGGATGCTAAATACTAGAATGGACTTCTAATGTAATTCATCATATACCAACTAGGTATTTTTTCTCACCATAGCCTGTGTCATGTGTGATCCATTTTCCATTACCACTGCATCAGTGAATATATTTGTTTCTGTTGTTTAAATAATTTTATAATCTTCAACATCATTTTTGTGCGAGGTCCACGAGTTGACAAGAAAAGTCAGAAACTTGTGTTGATATAATTGTTTGGTGAAGTCTGCTTTGTGAATTGTTTTTGTTTTATTCAATTATTTGTAGCTCTCTTACATTGGATCGATCCCTATGATATAAGCTTAATAGTAGGTGAAATTGTATTGGGAATGGGCACAAGAGTTATTTCTGTTGCACCGATTGATGTCGCAAGATTTGAGCCACAACAAAACTTGAAAATTTGATTTGACTATTAGTCCTAATAATTTTACTGGTTTTATTATCCTGCAATCTGTATCCAACTTGTCAACGTAAAGAAAAGTACTTGATTGGTCTTAAATTCCAAAGAAACCATTTTATTCTACCTACATTAAAGAAACCTATCCATCAACCACTCGCTCACCACGTGCTTCAGTTAGGTTTTTCATTTTATTACTTCCCCCACTTAAAAAACCTATTAAAGCAAGAGTATGCTAACAAATATATATAATCTTAGTTTACGCTAAAAAGGTTGTTTCGTTTCACTTTTTCTTTATTTTTTTTAAATAGGTTGTATTAATATTACATTATTTTCTCTCTGAAATTTATGTTTTGAAAAAAAAATATTATCTATAAACATGATCCATTAATATCTTTCGGTTGTGTTAAACTATTACGAAGATATGATTGATGATTTTAACAAGTTAGTATTTAATTGATCTACAAATTCTAAATGTTGAGATTCAGGGTTTTAGGATTCATTATTATTTAATTGACATCCTAGTTCTTAATTAAAAAATTCACTAATATATATGAGGGTTTTATATAAAGATTCAGTTCTTAATTTTAAGACCCTTATCTTACCATATTAGTATAGTCTAATCAAAATTTCTCATAAATTTTATACAAAACATTTAAAATTACACTTCCGCAGCGGAAATGCTTTTAGAATTAAATAAATTATTAAATATCTTTCTCTCTCATAACACTTTTAAGCATTAAATAAAATACTAAATATCTTTCTCTCGTGACATTATGATAAGAAAAGTTTTTTCATCCTAAAAAATGATACGTAATTAAGTGGTGTTGGTTGCGTTGGTTCTTTAATAGCATACAAGTCACTCTATTATCTTGGATAGCTTTTTTATATAAATTCATTTAAACATATAAATATGATTTGTACATTTTTTTTTAATTGAATAACAATCTTTTAGATTTTCAATTTAGAGAATGTTAAGCACACATTAAAACTTATTATATTAACATTTACATTAATAAAAACTTCATTATATAAAAAAAATAAACCCACACATTTTTAATAAATTTTGTAATACGTTTTTAGATGAAGTCTAAAGAAACGGGCATAGATTTGACTAAAATTGATGAACTTCTCATATGATAAGAAAAAAAACGGAGTATCAACATGATAGAATTTTTTAGATTATTTGACACTAACTTATATGTTTGGTTAGATGCCATCATGCCAACTGTCGCGCATGAAAAAGAGTTGTCCAGCATCAAACAAGAGTTAAAATATTTATTTTGATTTACTTTTATTTTTTAATTTTAAAAATAATTAATCAATTTTAAAAATAATTTAATAACTCTAATTTAAAATTTATTTTAAATTAAAATATGATATTAAAAATAACAGAAATCATGAAAAAAATAAAAGCTGATTTCAACAACTACATGGTAAAAATGAATAACACAATATAATCACAAATAAAAATACATATTAATAAAAAATATATATAATATATTTTTCAATTTTTTAAAATAAAAAGTTCCTTGTATATCATTTAAATACAGTATTATATACAACAAATTTTTAAATTTAAAAACTTTAAAATTATTTTTAAAATAATATATATATATATATATATATATATATAAATCTTTTAATATAATATAAAAAAAACATATATTACCAAATAGCATCTGACATTTAACTTTAGTATTTATATTTTGTTATGATAACGTTTATTTATATTTGAACTAAATATCAATAAATAAATATATAATAGACACATGTAATATCATAAAGTATCTGTCACAAACTTATGAAAATATATTATTATACAAGTGACATCCCAAATATTGGTAAAAAAGAATCATTAATATTATTTTAAATTTAAAAATTGATAATAAAAAAATCCATAAGTAACAGACAACAAGTACTGTAGTCTTTCTCTCTCTTTTTATAGTGTGTTTAGTTTATTAGTTAAACCCAGAGTTTGAGGCATGCATGCAAGAAAATTATAGGACATGTGTTTGGGAATCGCTTATTTTATAGGAACTCATTACCTTGTGAGGTCTTTGTAAACGAAAGCTGTCTCCTGATCTAAGCCGATTCATATTATTGATTTTTCACGCTCCCGATTATATATTCTTTAAATTTGAGGATAAAAGTCATATATAAGAAAATTATTCAGACTTTGTAATGTGTAACAAGTACACTCAGGAAGGTCTCGGGAGACATTATAAGAAAGGAAGTTCTCCAATCTCTGAAGTAACTTTTAAGTCATGATTTTCCGTCTTAATATTATGATCGTTACATTAATATTTTGATTCACGACATCCAACTCCAAAAAGATTAATTACGTAGATTCACTTTCAAACACTACTAATAACATTTTCATTTTATAAATTCTTTTATATGATTCAATTAATTTATTTATATATATATATATATATATATATTATATTATATTATATATTATGTTGAATTGAAATTCGTCTTAAATTATTTGAAATGACCAAAACATAAAATTTGAAAATAAACAATATATCATAAAAGTTAATAATAATAATATTATTATAACATATATAGATTTTATAATTTTTCTTCTATAAAATAATGCCAAAATAAAATTAATTGATTCAAATGTACATATATATGTTACATAAAATATATTATATTATAAGCTTTTCGTATGAATCAATACATCAATATACTAAACAGAGAATGAAATAATTTTCTCCCTTAATCTAAATTATCAAAATTTACACTATTTTTAATAGAGAGACCTTATTCATTATTTTTTATGCTTTTTGATACCAATATAAAAAGAAATATTGACACTATTAACCATCAAAACTCTATTTAACATTGAATAATACTTAGCTTTCGACATTTCTTCCACTTTATCTTTATCTCAATACATTTATCTTCTTTCAATGTATTAACAAGTTTTTCTTCATCGAATGTTTTAACAAGTTAATCATAAATTAAGAGTATTTTAACAAATAAAACTTTTAAATTAATAAATTTTTATTTTTATATATTAAGAGTATAATTGTTTTGCACCAACCAATTGAAAATTGTTTTAGATATAAATTTTAACAAAAAATATTATAAAAAATAAGTATTTTCACTTAAATATGTTTTTAGGAATGAATAAGTTTTGATTTTGGTATCCTAAACTTTTTTTCCTCTAAAATTAAAGAATACAAATTCTTATCCCTATTATGACACTAATTAAAAAAAGTAAAATCATCATTAAATAATACGTACAGACATTTTAATATAATGTCGACATGCATTATCTAAAAAATCCTTTAAGATTTTTAAAATAAATTATATTTATCTATATTAAAATAAATATTAAGAGCTAAAAAAATAATTTAAATTTTAGAAATATAAAAATATATTTTACAAAGGCTAAAACCAAAATTGAGACATTCTATAATGATTAAAGGAGTGATTTCAAATTCTATAAAAATAAAAATTAAAGGAATTTTCTTCCAGAACCAAAATTAAAACTCTCTAATTTTATAAGGATTAAAAACAAGTTTAAATAATTTTTTAATTACATAAACTTTATTGTTAAATGAAAGTTAGAATCTTTGCACTATTGGTATATCAAATTAAATGCAATGTAAAAAAGGTTACATTAAAAATAATAATCCTTTAAAAAAAATGAAGCATTATAATATAAAGTGAAAGAATAATTTTAATATCAACCATTACATCTTACCTTACATATAAAAATTA